TCTGATGAACGATGACGGATTAGGGGTACGAACCCACTTACTTTCTGAAGTATTTGCGATTAGCTTGCCGAAACGTCCCATAAACTGGATCCAGGCGCTATCAAGTGAGACAATTCTTAAGAATTTCCAGCCGGTCATTGCAATTAGATCGGCCAGGATGTTGTAGCGTGTGATGCTACGTGTTAGTTCAGCGTATTCCACCGGATATTCAGCGTAACACACAGTTATAAAGTATGGTAACATGATTACTTAGTCCTAGTGGGGTGTCTATAACTGACCTGTCGACCATGAGTTCCTCCTTTTGTAAGTATGTGGTCTACTGCTGATGGTTTGTTATCAGCTCTGTGCCCGGTAGTTGGCCTGATGTGATTGTACAATGGAATACTTTCGATGTGATCTTGCAGTTCGGCCTTGTATGCTTCAGTGGAAGATGCTGAGGCTTCCAGGTCTTGTATGTTGAAATCGCCAAAAATGCGAATGTGGCTGTAAGTCGGGAGTAAGCTTTTTATCAGTGCCAATATCAGTCGGGAATCGATCTCTGTAGTGGACGATGGGGTCGATAAACGGTTGCCACAAAACAGTTGTCATTAAATCTGAGACGCAAACGGCACCACAACGAATCGGTTACCGGCGTATTCGGATCATGCAATGCTTCGCATTCGAAGGCCTTGAGATAGTATGGGGTTACACCACTTCCCCTGCTAGGACGGTCGTGTCGGAACAGTGACAATCCCTGAATCGCGATATCGACAACCAGGTCTCGATTACGGAGATGAGATTTCATGTGTTTGTTGCCTGAATCAACCGAAGCTCATAGATTTTTCTGAGGAGGCTTTGCGCATTCGTATATATGCAGGAAACTGTTTCGGTTCTCAGAAACGATCCGAAAGACATTTGGCTAGGATGAGAGGTTGTGCCGCTTTTTGCTCGTATTATCGGTGAGTTATTCGGAGTTGGATTCAATGACATAATAATTAGCCCCACTGACAACTCAGTTTGTACAATGCATAGAAGGTTTCTCACTTCTTTCAAATGCTTTCGGATGAAGTCTGTTGAATGGCCCTTCGGGAAAAAGAACAAAGTCTGGGCGGCGATCAGAAGTCCTTAATAGAATCACGGTTTCTCATGGATTACACACAATATTCCGCTGTCGTCCGTTTGTTGACTGCCCCTTGTTAACTGTCCTATGACGTTACTCAGTTGGTTTATGCTCGTTCTTCAGTTGGACCGATCCACGCCTGCCGAATCCAGGGTTACGTCATGCCTCGTTGTTGCCATCCCGGGAGACTGCATGGTGGTGTCTGATTAGCCGTCCGCCCCTTTGGTCGATGGTCCAATGATGGCCCATTTGCCACAGCTGTGTACCCTAACTATGGACTCAGGCGTAGCCAGTCCGGTGTTTCTATGTCCGACCAATCTGATTTTCCGCCGTCCAAAGATACTGATACTGATACTGATTAGAAACAGCGAGTAGAGCATACTCTGTGTAGCTGCATCAATTGTCGCTCTTGGACATTAACGGATTAATTATCGTTCCGCTCTGTATATTTTGCCTCTGCAAAGTGTTTATCTAGAAGCTTCTTAAATTCGGCCACTGAGTTCGCCTCTATTACCGGCTGCGGTAGGTTGTTCCAGGTATTCACCACTCTACGTTCGAAGCAGAGTTGGTGAGCTACCCGCTTCAACTGCGGTACGATAAGTTTGTACCTGTGTCCTCGCGTGCTGCTTGGTGTGCGCAGATGAAGCAGTTGTCTCAACATGGGGTAATCACTAAGATGTAATATGCGGTGCGTCGTGATGAGTTCAACCCTCAGCCGACGTTAAGCTAGGGTGTACAGCCCTAGTTTCTTACATCGGTCTTCATATGGCATACCTCGTAAGTTGGGAATCAGCCTAGTGGCTGCCTGCTGCACCCGCTCAAGCTTTTCTACCTCGCCCAGGGTGATGGGACAATACGCGGCAGAGCCATTGTGCTAGGCCGGATGCATCCCACATGCCCAGTTCACCAGACTAGCGTCTGATTGCCCATTGGTCTATTAGGTTGATGCTTCCTCGGCTGGCTAGCTGACACAGTAGAGCGTCGTTAAACTGGACTTCGGCGTGAGATGTCCGCTCGCCATACAGCTGACCAATCCGCTTATCAGATATCGACAATAATGCTGTTTCTCTTGTGCGCTGGGCTAGACCAGTCGCGCGCACTGGGCCTTCGTCTGATTGGCCCCGGGTCCATCACTACCGCGACGATTTCCTTCGTCCCAGGCTTGAGTCACCATCTCGGGTCCCCACCTCGTTCGCCTGCTGGGATGGCACTTTAAGTCAAACGACTGTTTTGCTCTCCGCCTTGGACCGTAACTCGATTGACAGTTTGTTCCGAAATACCCGCCATCGTCCCAGTCGTCTAAGTGCCATCTGTCTAGTTTGTAGCACATCCTTAAGTATCCTTGGGCCGCACCCTTTGTAGCTCGGCGGTGCGAGGCACAATCCAATTAGGTGATCTGCCCAATGCTCTTAGCAGCATTGTGAGAGAAGTACCTACAACGTCATCCAAGAGCAGGGTCTCACGAATATAGCGCCATTGCTCCTAGTCGTGAGTTTCTGCTTTGCATTTAGCTTGCTCATGAGACGGGGGGACGTCATGGAAAAAAACGGTTCTGGCTGCAGTGTCTAGGCGGAACTCTTCTAAGCACTGCTTCGCTTGCTTGCGCTCGCCCTATCGAACGTCTGGAAAGACACGGACAAAACAGGATCTGTTCTGGAGACAAGCTTTCGAAAGCGACACTGCTTTCACCTCGTCGACAGAGTTTAACACAACCCGAAGAAGCCTGACTTCATCATGGTGCTTGGAAATCGAGTGGCGGGTGCTCCTCGTCAAGTTGGAGGGTTTAATGAATGCCGATCAGGTTACTTATGGTGTTCTATTGGCTCAGGTCATCAACCTCTTTCCGTTTCAATGAATTCGTTGTTGACTCCGGAGCGTTGATAGTATAATGGATAGGGCATCCCATTTTTTCTCAGTGCCTTTCCAGGGAGTATGAATCGTGGTTGGAGGACCGGGCGATTTGCTGCACACCTCTTCGGTGTAGCCATTCACATTATCCTTGGCTGTGGTAGTATAGACACCAGCTGCTGATTTTCGAGTGCTCTTGGATGCAACTACGACTCATTTGCCATTGTTTTAGCCTTTTTCCTGCGTTTCGGCGAAGCCTAGTGGGCGGAAGTGGCTTTGGAGAAAATTGTGACTGATGGCCTGGACTTGTATTGCTCGGGAATGCTGGAGCGATTTGGAGTAGTGGAGATGTATGCAGGAACCTTAGCGCTCGATCCAGTGCGAATCACGGTCTATTTTGAGATTGCGCATCGCAATCAAATCACACGTGTACTTCAAAATGATCCTCCAATCAGGACTCACTTTGTTAGTGTAACATCCAGCGTGGTGGAATCGACTTACAGGGGAGTTCGGTGGAGAGGTCTGTGTCAGACATTCGGTTATGGTTATTCCTACTGTAGCTATGCTAGTGCCCAAAATTTACACAAACACCTGCCAGCTTATTCTACTTCTGGGACAGTGCAACTGCTGTCTTAACTAATGCGAGGGCATTACACTTCACGCTGAGGCAAAATGATTCTGAACTTCTCCTGATCAGCCTTAACTCGTTTGGCTTAATATTCCTGCATTTGGCATGGAAATAGGTAAAGCAGTTTGGACATGGGATTCCCCTTTTGACCAACTCACAGCACGTTCCACAGGCTCCTTTAAGCATTGCGAGTCGATCACTCGCGCCCATCAGTTCATGTGAACTTTGTATTGACGATTAGCTTAACCATAGACCCTAGGTTGATTGTTCCGGTGCCAACGTCAGTTTACCGAAACAGGTGGCTCTCCATTGCCTCTCTCGCAGTCGTACGCAAATTGCCGTTGTGCGCACACATCCGCACGAGGATGCAGTGTGTGTTGATCGGCCCGCTTTACGCAATGCTGCAAGCTAGGCGCCAACAAGCGACCCTGTGTCGAACTCGATGTTTAGTGCATCATCGACTCAAAATGTTCCGTAACTTATGTTGCAGCCTGAGGGATGGTTCCAGGGTTGTTCGATATTCCCCATCTTCTTCCGATTGAGACCAAAGTTATTTCCAAACAGCTCAGGGATGATGTAACTACACACGTTAATCTCGACAAAGAATGTGACAAAGCTGCGAATTGGAGCGACAGTATGATTCACAGAAGTTAAATCCAAGTGGTGGGAAGCACTGAATAGCGCTTTTCAAACGGGTTCGGAAGAGTGCTTGCACAAGGATGTTTGGGGAAAATTGGCATGGCGGGTAAAGCGAGAGGCCAGATAGAGTGCGGTCGTACATCGTGACGCAGTGTTGTTTTATGGAAGCCAATATCACACTTATCTTCAACCTAACTATTCTAGACCGGCCGTATCTGGTGGCAGTATATCTGGATTAGGGCCATCTCATTCAAAAGGTCATGCGATGACACTTAAATCGTTGACTATTTACTGTCCAGTCAAAATAGCGGTCAACCGGAAATGTTGTCCTGTACTTCAGTCCCGTGCTACATGGAATTAACCGAACATACGTTGCTCCACCGAATTAGCTCGAAGGTGGCATATTGATTACGCTCACCACACATGGCATTCGCCATTATGTGAAGTACCTTTGCAGTCAAAAAATTTATCGACGTTGCGCCCTAGCTCGATGCAACAGGATAACTTCTCGACATACTGACAGAATTTACATCTTTCTCGGTCTTCACTTTCCGACACACCTCTGTTACCATTACTGTGGTTGTGTATAATAAATTTCGAATGCAGTTACCGTCAGTTTTCCAATAGTGCATGCATTATTTGGTAATTATTAAGATGTCATCGTTACTGGCAACTTAACTGGTCGGTTAGGGTGTGATTAGCCTTATGTTCACGTGTCTGATCCAGCTCATTTGTCCACCTCTGTATTACCTTCAGACTATAACGACCATATTGTATTTGTTGCAGCTTCTTTAGGTGACGGATGCAATTTGCGACTGGAAAGTGTGAGTGGAAAAGAGAGCCGCCTCATCTGGAGAATACCCACATATATAATGAAAAGGATCAGTCCGACGGAATCTTTTGTGTTTCAAGTTGACATAGAGCGCATCGGACGTCCACCGCTGGAGACACTAACGGATATGTGTTTCGTCAAATCATGCACTATGGTGAGTTGTTGATCACGCCTGGAATTTTGCAGTGACTATTGGTGAATCATATAACGGAGTTTGACGGTTGCCCATATTGTTGCGACGAAAGTAAGAGACAGTACGCTCTGAAACAGAGTCCAGCTTTACGGATCCTGGGCATTGATTAGGTCTAGATAGTGCGCCTTACTCTGTATAGTATTTGGCATTCCCGTACATGGCCCAGACACAGCGGTGGCTTATTGTTCACTGAATTTCCTGGCTTCACATTTCCGATCAATTTCCACCCGCTTCTTATCGTAATCATCTTTATCCACATCAACAATATCAGTACACCGGTAACTAGATCTAATGTCTCACTGCCATACAACGTTTATGACCTAGAACATGCAAAGGAATAAGGAAGTTGGAGGAGGACCTAGTGTAAAACCTAACTGCTCTAAGACCACATATAGCTGCAAGCAGCTGGTTATCATGTGAAGACGAGACGCTATCGGCCAATCAGCTTCCTTATGTCAAGCGTTGCTCATGGATATCAATGGTCTGATGATCAAGGCATCAGCCCTCAATCATTAGTCTCGGGTTCCGCTACAAGCTCCCGCTCTCTAAATGACGAAGTTCAAATGTGGACGAAACCGGTCATAGTGTAGTGTTAGAAGCGAAAGCATCATAATCTCTCAACTTCCCTGTCGATTTCACGGCCTCATGTCATGGTCAAAAATTACTCCTATGGATGACTGGGCATCAGACACACTATGAAAGGGACAGCCGAATTGGGAGACAACAGTAAACGCATCACTGATGACATTCGAAAGTTATCTCTTCACGGTCTTTCGTCAATGCAATGAAGTCTACGGAGAATGACGGCTAATTGGCTCAAAACAGACCTGTCGCTCCGAAACGCCCATTAGCCCTGTATTTAGAAGCAGAGCGGCCACTTGCCGATTATGCTTTGTCATTCTGCATATGCGTTTCTGTGAAGCTTGCACAAGTAGGATCAATTCCCCTCGCTAGACCTCAGCGTTATGATCCGATATCCGTTTCATCTAAGTTTCGACTCTACAGTTAGATATGGGAATTGAAATTAATGATCTTCTGGTTACCGGAGAACACTATTCGGCCTGCGAATCTATCGAACTCGATACATACAAATCGATTCATAACCTGAACCACACTTATTTCCGGTTTGCTATTATTTCTACCCTTTATCTAAAAAATTCAGCGCATAGGGACTCGCCAGAATTCAAGATGGGTACCTGCGTTTCCCGCTCAGATCTCTTCCTGGTTGGCACAGCCAAATTAGAATCTTTCTCGTACCATGTCACAGAAATCGATTGGTGCACAGTAATCAGTTTCCGCGTGAAGCTCTTCAAGAACCGAACCACGGCTGTCATAATGCATGTTGTATTTTTTTCAGCTGTTCAAAAGTTCACAGCTTCCTTAAGGCAAAACCGACAATCTTGCCACGAGATATTAACATTCCTACTCCGGAGACTGCGAACAAATAGTCTATCGAATTACTGTTGCATTAATGCAAACAGCAAGGGAAAATGTTCGAATTATGCAGTGCACGTTGTCATTTTTCCTGTAATTTTGGGAGTGACATGAACAGCCCCTGACATGTTATCCCCACGCAATGACCTCCAGACACAGCATCTGATTCAACGGATTTCCTTGGGGGATAGAGGGATTCGGCCTTTCAACATACCTACCCTAGAGCAGCGATGTCCAAACTCAGGCCCGCGGGCCAAATGCGGCTCACATTAACATTTCAACGGATCCGCGAGCTCATCATGAAATAATAAGTTCAAGCTTGCATTTTTCAGTACAAATGACATTATATATATTACAAAAGGAGTAAGGAGGTTACGAGTACAATATTCGATGTCGTCGGATACTGGCAGAAATCAATGATGTAGTACTGTTTATTTGAAACAAACAAGGAAAGGTTAATCTAGTACCCTAACTAAAGGGGTTTTAACTAGATCAGAGAATATAAAAGATTTCAGATTTCATTTTCACCATTCAAATTAAAAACTTGTAAGAAAAATTTATAACAAATTTCCTTTTTACTTATTATCTTAATGTCAGACTGAATATGGTCCGACATATTTTTATCTCAAAAAATGTGGGTCTCCTTGCGAAACATTTGGACACCCCTGCCCTAGAGAATATTCCCCAACTTAGTCGTATTTGTTACTACGTTGCCACCTCTTCTTGAAGGAACCCAACACACTACCGCTTTATTCCTTATTCAGCCCGTCCATGACAGCTGTGCGTTTTACTTCTCTCGCGTAGCACAATGGATTTGTCCAGTTGACCCACTGACAGATGCGCCAGCCGATCACCGTCGATGCATACATGGGCCGTTGCCACTCATTCTCTCATCTGACATTTTGTTACTTAATCTGGTATTCGCTAAATGGCGACACCGATGCAATCAGATTTACACTTCACTCATGGAGTGCACAACTGTCTCTGAGGTGATATGGAAGTTGTCTATGATCTCTCAGTGGAAGTCGCATCCAATTAACGTGTTCATGTTTGTCGCTTTTTAACTTACCGGCGTTTGTTTATTGGGGATAGCCCCACTGTACCTATCGAACTTTCCGGTGCCGTCGTACACCAACTATAATCTAGCTCATTAGATTTCGCAAAGACGCATATTCCTTCGTATTCTGTTGCCAAAAATCGTTACATGCGATCTAAACTCATTCCCATGCAGGTGGCTGTTTCGACCTTACTAGGAAAGGCTCAATGATAAAAGCTTATTCTTGGAGTTGCCCTTGCAGAACCCTGTACCGCAGCAACGTTTTTATTCTTAGATGGATGACCATACTGAAATGAAAAATGACGACGTAATCGGAAGCAAATCATCCTCGCTACTCAACCTCGTTGTCAGTGCAAATACTGTCCAACTTACTATGGGGACCATCTACCTATGGGGACCGACTGCCTATGGGGACCATTCAAAAACATCTCCAACAATTTCCTTATCTTTTCTCATTGGTTTTAACCTGTGTATCGCGTCCACCTGCCTAACGCAAACGCGACTACATTTTTCTGGTCCCCGAGCCCTTTAGCACCTGTAAAAGGTGATCACCAATAGCATGAGTGGCTGCGATTTTGTCTTGTGGTGTCATGATAGTCTGCCATCGTATCGCACAGGTGGCTTAGATTTCGTCCTGGGGGTGTCCTAACTAGCTGCTCATTCTGTTTATCTTGTCTAAGTAGCAAAACTAGACACAGCAGTTAGGTGGCAAATTACTTGTCCGCGCGTGTAAATGCGTGCCTAATGAGCATGTGATTTGTTAACAAAAGTGCACGTTATCGGTAATTCCCGGATACCATCGGGAAACTGGGCCGTTTTGTAGCCATGCGACTATTCGGTCTGTGTCAATTACAGGAGAAACTACAACATGCTGTGACCATCAGCCAGCCATCGAATTTTTCAAAACAAGTGAAAAACACTATCGGTAATTTACAAGAATAATGAGAAGGCATGGATGACTATAGTTATTTTTGAAGATTGGCATAAAAGCTTTGACAGTAAGGTGCAGCAAAAACATCGTAACATCATTTGTTTTTTGACACTGTCACTTCCCATCCCAACATCTAGTTAACTAATGTCAAGGTGCGGTCCCTGCCACCCAATACTACTGCCTTACTCCAATCCTCGACTAGGGTGTGATTCAGGTGCTTCAATTAAAGTTGAGGAAAAAAACAGCGACATTTTATTATGATCATGCAGACACAAAAAGACGTGTTCGGAATTGAACTCATGAAACGAGTAAGTCTATTGTACGCCGTGTTTTGGATCGCTGCCGCATGGAAGGAGGTGAGGTACTTAACAATCTCTAAGTCTTTTTATAAAGCAGGGTCTCTTTCTTCTGCAGACATAGATTTTGAGACAACAATTCAAACTGGACCTAATACAGACGAGCAAATCGCACCTCCTGCAATCTGTATTGCATTGCATAACCTTCCAAAGGAATTGTTTGAATATCAACTTACTGACAGCCCGATGATTGATTCAAGTTTCCAAACACAAAGAAATAATCTGGGACCTGTCTACCACATGGATTTTACCAGCTGAGGATGTGAATTGTGCATCAGATGACTAGGTTCTACAAACGCCCTCATAGCGTACACATGCACAGACACACAGGGTGCTTTTGCTAGCTAGAGAACACACTGACATGCTTGACTTATTGTGAACGACAGGGAAAAACTAAATTCCTTTTTCATTTCTACTACCCAGCAACAGACTTGTACACTTGATTTGTTTTTATCTGGTGGATAATGATACGGACAATAGAAATGTTTGCGTGTACTTTTGCTAAAACTTGTGGACTATGCGGATCTTCAGGTTGGTTTTTATAATGTCTGCTCATAAACTAAATTTTTACATCTGTATTGCTCATATATTCAACACCATGCAACAGTATTGCTTTTGCTTTAATTTGAAGACTAACTTGATTATAGATGTTGTCTGTGTACAGACATAGTTTTTTATTTTGAAGCATAGTACCCATATGTCATCTGTGATAAGTAATGTCCCCTGTGCATGAACCTGTCCCTGGGTGCCACCTATCCAAGGGGACCACTTTTTGTCGGTCCCTTGAGTGGTCGCCCTAAACAAATTTGACTGTATCACTTACTGCCTCGGTGGTCAGAGTCGCCTTTACTTTCCAAGAAGCAGAAAGAGCTACTTACACTTCAACGAAAGCTGCCGTTTCATTTGCTATTATGTGTCCCATTCCGAACTCACGGTGGATGGGGTAACGAAAGTTAATTTCACTTGATAAACTGAATCTCTAGCCACTGGGGCACACATCACCATGGAAACTTGGGGCTTAACGATCGAAGTACTAAGTATGCGGTATGAGCTCTCAAGGTCTGTTCTCCACTCTGTCAATGTCTCAGCTATCGATAACACCGTAAACCGCCATTAGTACAACAGTTTTGCTTATCATACTAGCGATAGGGCTCTGTACAGTTTGTCCAGACAGTTCGCCATC